GGCAGAGAAGATGGCAGCTCATCTCTGGTGATAAGGTCTACATCTGAGACTGGTAGGGATTGGAGATGTATTTTGTCAACAGCTCTGGCTAAAGTAACCCTCTAATAATATTCAAGTATGGACAGAGAATGTTTCCTGAGACCGGATCACATCTTATTTTGAAGAGGCCTTTAGTGTGATTTTCTCCCTGTTCTCAGTGGAAATGAATGGGTTTTGAAGGCAAGCATGGTGCCCCTCTGGAGAACTGCTGGTTCCTCACAAAGGACTGTGCTGGCATGGCATGGCTCTGCATGGGTAGGATCACTGCCAGCTCACCCTGCCACAGCTGCACACAGATGGGTGGGCCCACCTTTCTGGACAACAGTAGTCAGCAGTGCCCTTCTTTCCTCTCAGCAGACCACTAGCCACAACATGATCAAATCTATGCCGGAGCCTCAGCCTGGTGTGCCCAGGAGTATTAGAGAAGGAAGAAACAAATAGGCTCTCAGATGGACTCTGTCACTCAGAAGGGAAAAGGCTCCAGTGCCCACGCCACCAGATTTACCTTCAGATGAGCTGGATCCCTGTTTGCTGCTGCTACCCAAGATGAGATGTATGACACTGAGAACTGCAGTACCCCACCAGACAACACCTGAGGAGGAGCTCTGGAAACTATAAAGGGGTAAGTGAATTGGATCACAGCATTATTCTCCCATTTGGAAGCTGAAGCACAGTTGTTTTTAAAAGTACACATTCTCAGTAGGATGACCTTGGCAGCATACACCATTGCTTACCAGGATTTATAGAAAAATATCATCCAGTGGTCTTCAAGGGTGTATGAAAAAATGAACATAAGCCTCCATCCAACACTTTGGGCCCCTCTCTCTCTAGTGATACTGACTATATTTCTCTATCTTTCTCCCTTCCACATGTGGCCCTGACACACCAGGCTCCTCCTTCAGGAGAGTTAACCCAGTTTAAAATGTGTTGCTGTGTGTGTGTTTATGTGCTTAATCCTATTGTTAAATCTGTCTCATGATGTGTGCGGACTCCATGAGGGTCAGGACTACGTCATTTTGACTCACTGTTAGAATCCCCAGGACACTGCTTGAAGTATTTGTAGAAGAAAGAAAGGGAGGAAGGAATAAAGAGAGAGAGAGAGAAAGAGGACAACGTGCCAGGCATGCTGCTGAGTACAGGCAACACTTGGTCCAAAGCTGCGGAAGTGCTCACAGCCCAGCAGAGGAGGTAATTTAGCATAGCCAGAGAAGGGCAGGCCGACAGGCACCCACTGCTACTATGGGAAGGCTGAGGAGGGATTCAGGAAGGCTTCCCAGGCATTCTGGATTTAGGGGCAGCTCTGGCCAGCGGCAGGGACAGCAGAGAGGCACAGGGATGCAGACCAGGCCTTCCCCCAGCAGGAAGGCAGCCCAGACACAGCACTCCTGGGTGAAAAGAGCAGACGGTGCTGACTTCCAGATGCATGGTCACCCTCATCCCAGGCATTTCCACCCAAAACCTATTACAAAGAATCTTAGATTTCCCTGGAGCTGATTTCTCAGATTCTCTCTAGCAATAGAATGCCCTTTTATTCCTAATTCCTAGAGTAGCACGTGGGTCTACGTGTATGTGGGAGAAACAATGATGAAGGAATCATGAATCCACTGCGGTTTGCTAAATACCATCATGCAGAACTGCACAGCTAAACCAATGGGGCAGGAGCTGCCATCCTGAGGCCTGCCCCGCAAAATGGGATCTGTCCATCTTTACTGGGGAACCATGAAAAACGAGCAAAGACAGATACTGGTGAGGACAAGCCACTTTATTTAAGAGCTTCGACAGCCCAAAGTGGTTTAACATAGATGCATGGAAGATTTATTGAGATGATAAAATACCTGAACTTGAAAGGCACATAAATTATAATTTTGCAGGTTTTTTTCTTTTTAAAATTTCATAGTCAAGTGCTTTAAGTAATGAATGAAATGCACATAAAGTTGATTTCATTTCACACAAGCTGTCTGGTTAGTGTCTGCAGAGTGCCTTTGCTTCCAGGTGGGACTGAGTTCAGAATCCATGCCACCCATCTGTGCCTACGGCCTTCAGTTTCCTTATCACAGTGGAGATCATTGGGAAGATGAATAAATATAATAATAAGGCAGCCATTATTGACAGGGCACTTATCATACTACACGTTGTACACTGAGGTCAGTGCCTCATATGCTTATCTTGCTTAATGCTCCTAACATCCCTATGAATTAGCTACAATGATTCTCATTTTACAGATGTAAAAACAGGTTTAGAGCACTTTGGTGATACATGGGAAAGTCACACAAGCAATTTTATCTTCTTACAAGACTATGGTGTTCACCACGAAGCTGCGACATACATGAAACTATTTGGCCCTCAGCAAATGCTTAAATACATTAGTTATCTTTCCTTACCTTCCAATTCCTTTTACACACACACACACACACACACGTGCACAGATACAGTGAAAAATCTGCCTCGGGTTTTTGTTCACTTATTTGTTCATTACCGATTCATGCCTTTTTGGCCTGGTACTCTACTGGGTGCAAAGTTTGCAAAATTAGACTTCATAGCTCCCAGGTCAAAGAGCCAGACCAGTCTCAGGCAGTTACCATGCTCAAATGGATGGCAAGGGTCTGCAAGGAGCAGTGGCAGCCCCCTGCAGGAAACCCCCACTCAGCCATCGGTTAGAGACACATCATCAAAAAGACCATTTTAGACCTTTTTCAACCCTAGTTTTACCCAACTTTTGCTATGCTTTCTTTGGCCTGAGTCTAGGAAGACACTCAAACTTTGGGACTTCCTGACAGTGCAGCTGCCCAGGATGCCCTTTATCATGCAGAACACCCCTCTCTGCTGCCAGGCTCTTGCTTTATGGCAAAACCACTGCAACAGATAATCTAACTTCCAACTAATCACCCTGCACAGTTCCTCATACCGCCTCCACTCCTATCCCTCTCCTGCCACTGCCCTGTTTTGTTTCAATTTTTGTCCAGCCTAAGGAACGATATCGATAGTTATAGTAGTAGTATCCGCCTACATGTCAGGCACTGCTCTATGTATTTTAGGTCCTCATTAAATCCCCATAATAACCTTCTGAGGTAGACACTACAACTATGCATATTTTAGTTCATTCAGGAGAAGTAAAGGGTGGGAGGTAATATTTCTTCAGGGCCAACTATATGCCAAGCACCTGTTAAGCCTGCACAATCCTCATGACTCACATGGTGAGTGAGCTGCCCAGGGTCAGTCACAGAGCTGGGAAGTGCCAGGTCTGTGACCACCAAGCCTGGAGCTTCCCTTCTTATGGGTTGGCACACTGCTGTGGTCTGAGAGGGGAAAAGAGAGGCTGCACAACGGCTGCCCTCTCTCCTCCTCCCTCCAACGCCCTCTGTTAACATCTTACCTGTTCTTTTTTACCACTCTCCACAAATGGTGCCAGACTCCTGCCTCATCTGGGTGCCCCCACTCTCTGGGCCTCTCAGTTAGTTTTCATAGAGCACTTCCTTTGTCTACACCAATGGTGTGAACAGAGCCAAATAAGAAATTAGGATCATTTGAGCCAATAAAATACAGTGAGTAGCTGACAGGTGTCTCCTGAAACCTAAAATGCTTTCCCAAATCCGTGGGGTCTCAAGGTCTGACACGTCCTCAGCAAGGTACCAGCATAGTTGCTGCTTCTGGGAAGTCTTCTGTCCAGTTTTAGGGGTGACACCAAAAGCTGAGAACCACCAATGAAATTCAGGAAGTAACTGATGCTCAGTGGAGCTGTGTGAACCATACCTTCAGGGGCTCCTGGGTGGCTTTATGAGAAATGCGCACCTGGCCAAAAATAGAGAAGCTTTCCCCTGCAAGGCCAGAGGGTCACACCCCTTCCTCTGGGTTCTGCCAGAGTGCAACAGTCACTTTATTTCACCTGGCCCACCCAACATGGGCTCCAGAAGGGCAGGGCCCCTGACTGATTTCTCTCTGAATCCTCAAAGCCAGGGTAAAGTGGGTGCCAGTTAAATGTTTCAAGAATGAACAACTAAACCAGTTATCCTTTTAGAGAACAGGCTGTTTGAGAGATTCTACTCAGAACTACTTATTTGATAGAGGAAGAAACAGGACTCAAGGAGAGGGGAAGTGACTTTGCTGAGAGGCAGGCACACTGTGTTCAGTCCAGAACAACATCCAGCCTTAGATATTTAGTGCTGAGTAACATCCAGCACCCATCATGCGGTGTTAAGTCATTTACGTTCACCATTTCCATCCTCAATGGGTAGAACAGTCCCATTTTACAGAGGAGGAAGTTAAGGTGAAGGAACTTGCTTTCTCCTCAGCTCTCTGCAGGCCAGCCCCACCGATCCTCCTTTCCTCAAGTCACATTCTCTCCCAGCAAAATGAGTGTGCTCTGTTGTTCCCCGCCCGGGAATTCTCTAAAGTTTTAGTTCCAGCAGCCTTTGTAACTGGGGACCCTGATAAAAGTTCTCCAGCACCCTAGACTTTCAGTCTTCATAGCTCTGACTACAGTATTAACGTTCACACTTGTTTGCATAGATATCTGGTTGCTGTCGGTCTCCCCCCACTGGACTGGGAGTTGCACGGGGAACGGCACCACGTTTGTTGACCTGCCACTGTAACCCTAGCACTTAGCTCAGCAGCGGGCACTGAGTGGCACACGTTATCTGTTAGACATCGTGCTTATATTTTTAACCTTTGAGTGCACGAGTGCTAAAGGTGGGATCCGAACCCACGTCTCCGGGGCTCTGGTCATAGCCAAAGGAGTGCTGGGGGTTAGGTTGATACGCTGCAGTGAGAACCAACGGCGCGCAGAGGCAGCGCGGAGCTGTGCCCCGGTTCGCGCGACCCCGGATGGCTCCGCACTCCGCCGCCACCTGTCGTCCCAGCGGGGACTCCCAGGACTCCGTTGGGGGCTGGGAGTCAAGAGGGTCCTGACGTTCAGCCGCGATCCAGGTCCTAGCGGGCTGACGAGGGGCCCGGGCTGCGCTTACCTGCTATTCGCAGGGCTCAGCAACGGCGCTCGGCGAGTCTCGGGGGACTGCGGGACACTGCGGGGGACTAGGGGACCTGCTGGGCCTAGCGGGGGCTGTCGGTCAGCGCGCGGCCCGGCGCCCGAGGTCCGGGAGGGAACAACGTTTGGTCTCGGTACTCAAGCCTGCCTCCGGGCCGGGTAGCCTCGGGTCTAGACCGCCTAGTACCCGAGCTGGAGGCGGAGCCTAAGGCTAACGTGACCTTGCGCTCCCTTGGCGGCCCAGGGCGGAAGGTGTCTGAGGCAAACAGATCTGCGCCCCGCCCCCTCGCTGGGACGGGCCCTAAGGAGACCCGGCCCCGGCCCCGCCCCGGGTCCCTAAGCCCCGCCCTCTCCACGCCCCCGTCACCGCTCGTTGGCTCCCCACTGCCAAAGCCCTTTTGTGTCGCGTGCGTGTTTGCTTTTTATTTTCCTGTTTTGTATTCTGTTTGTTTTGTATTTTTATTTAATTTTCTTTTTAAAAAAATACACGAAAGTAACGCCCACTTACTTATTACGAAATAAAATTAGATTTGCTTATAATGAAAGCAACAGGCCACCTCTCCCTCCCATCATAGCTCTTTTTAACAATTCCTCTGTTAATTTCTTCTGGTAGTCACCCGCTTGTCGCAAAAAATAAATAAATAAAATAAAATAAAATAAAAGAAGCTTACATGGCGATTTTTTGATTTATCCATTGACTTTCTGCCATGTTATATGAGGATTTACTCTCTTACTGCGCGGCCCGTTTCCTTCTGACAAATTTACACCTCTATTCTCAATCCCTGCCCTGGTAAACGCCAGACCTCAAATCAGGGAAGGATTTCTGGGGCCTGAAGCATACACAGTTGTGTGGGGAGAGGGGAAGAGAGGGCTGCTTAAGAAAGAGAAGACAGAATTAGGGCTTGCCAGTGGACATTTATTTAAAATGAGAAAATAAATCATAACAGAATCTTGGGGCCTTGGAGATTGGGGTCCCTATCCCCTGAGACCTTCTGAGGAAATTTACGTTCCAAATTTGCTTCCCTAATGCAGTCTGGCTTCCTCTGCCTACCCAGAACTCTCCATAAGCCCCCAGGGCTCATGGGAGCCTTGCAGGGAGAGGCCTTGAAGGACAAGATTCACTAGATTCTGCCAATATGGTTTTCTAATGGAGTGAATTGGAGTGTGCGAAAAAGAGAGCCATCAAGGATGATGTCAAGGTTTTTTGATTGCTGTACACTTAATTTCCAGCGTTTCCTAGACACAGGGACACGTCCTCATCTTAGTATGGAGAGTGTTTTATAAGCCTGTCCCCATCATCAGAGCCTCACAGTGCACCCATGAAGTTGGCTGGACGGGTGCACTGTCCACACTTTTAGGAAGCCCATAAACTTGTCCCTTGTGTATTAGCACAGGGGGCATGCAACTTGCACCCAATAAGTACCCAGGTAAAGAGTACTTTCCCACTCAGTCTGAAGACACAGTGTCCATGCCCTCTCGGATCCCTTTTCTCTTACCTGTGGTGTAAAATGTGGCTCCAGAAGGTGATCTTGGACAAGTCTCTTTACCTTCCCAAGCCTCAGTTTCCTTTCCTGTAATGGGAAGTAACAATCCCTACCACACTGAGTTTTGGGAAGGATTAAGTGGCTTAACATCTTTGGATATTCTCTAATTGACAAGTCGGCTTGTTTCCCAGCAGGGTGGGAGGCTCCTGAGAAAGCTTAGGGATTTCTAAGAATCTTGTGTAGCATGTAGTACCACAGGTTGATTAGAGGCCTTTGATTAAAATCATGGGCTGAAGAGTCATTCTGAGTTAGGGCCCTAGGCCAGGGAGGGAGAAGCTGCACACAGAGAGCAGAGAAGAGGCTGGGCAATGACTTGCTCATGCAAGGGAAGCTTTCTTTGCCTGAGGTAGTGAAGACTAAAGCTTGGTCTAGGAGGAAGCCTGGGTTTCCTAGGCAAGAAAAAAGGAATGAATTAATGGCATTCGCAGCAACTGGATGAGATTGGAGAGTATTATTCTAAGTGAAGTAACTCGGGAAAGGAAAACCAAACATCGTATATTTTCATAAGTGGGAGCTATCCTATGAGGATGCAAAGACATAAGAACGACACAGTGGACTTTGGGGACTCAGAGGGAAGAATGGAAAGGGGGTGAGGGATAAAAGACTACAAATTGGGTGCAGTGTATACTGCTCGGGTGATGGGTGCACCAAAATCTTACAAATCACCACTAAGGTACTTACTCATGTAACCAAATACCACCTGTTCCCCAATAACCTATGGAAATAAAAATATGTTTTAAAAAAAGTAGCATCCCCTTGTGCTGGAAGGTAAAACCTCATATAATAGCCAAGCTTTACCTAACCTAAGTGGGGAAGAAGATGCAGTGGCTGAGAAATCCATTTTGGAGAGGCAACTACCTCCTAATTTTTTAGAAGGAGGAATACGTAAATGCAAGTCATGTACTTGCTTAAGCTCACAAAAAGACTACTGGATTATGGGTATAATGGTAATAATATTTTCAGATCTCTCCTTTATTGGTAAGTTTCATTTTTCCTGGATCTTATCTGCCATTATGGCTCAAGGGAGGTGGCCACCTAATGCCACCTCAGGAAGGAGGAAGATTTTACGTAGAGGATGGTTCAGCTTGAGTGCCTCAGAACCAGATCCTGAGGTAAGAATTAATGCAAGTAGTTATTTGAGAGGCACATGGAACACCAGCAGAGTAGTGAAGAAGCAATACAGGGAAGAAAAGGGGAGCTCAATAAAATATTAAGCCAGCTACTATAATAGATGATTAGGGCTTAATCCTAGGGGAAAACCCTAGAAAACAGTGTGAAGAGAATGCCTTGGAATCATCCCACCCAAGGCTGCAGGAGACAGGTCTCTACAGGGAAAAAAGCTGGAACTGACCACTTAGCTCCTATTTTTGAACATTTAAAACATTATTTCTAGGCATAAAATATCATTACTAAACTGAGATCTGGCTATAATATAATACTCTTCTGCAGTTTCCTTCTATCACCTAACAGTGTGCTGATGAAGTTTCAGGAGGAACTCTTTGGGCAGTAAGCAGTGTGCAGATGGCTGAGAGTCACAGTCCTGGGCTGGACCTGAGGACATTCTGGAAAGCTTGCTTGTGGATGGATTGTGATGAGGCCGTAGACTGGGGCAGCCTCTGCTTTTGGATGAACCCATTCTAACCTTGACTTCTGACCTGTCGCTGAGGAAAAGCAAGCTTTGCGTGGGTAAAAATAAAATGTAAAAGGGAGACTGGTGGACTTTTCAAATGACCAAAGAGGGCCAACTTTTTAGTCACTGCCACGACTTCAGCAGATTGGCGTTTTCTTTTCTTTTCTGAGATGAAATTTCACTTTTGTCACCCATGCTGGAGTGCAGTGGCATGATCTTGGCTCACTGCAACCTCCGCCTCCCGGGTTCAAGTGATTTTCCCGCTTCAGCTTCCCAAGTAGCTGGGATTATAAGCGCTCGCCACGACGCCCAGCTAATTTTTGTATTTTTAGTAGAGACAAGGTTTCACCATGTTGACCAGGCTGGTGCTGACCTCAGGTGATCCACCCGCTTCAGCCTCCCAAAGTGCTGGGATTACAGGCAGGAGCGACCGTGCCAGGCCAGGTGTTTTCTTACAAACAGTGAACAGATAATGCTCATGCCAGATCTTCCTTATACAGGCATCAAAGCAGGTCCTCACTAGAAAACCTCCACTTTGTCAATTTGGCTTCATGGCTATACTTACTATTGAGCTAAAATTATGCTTTTAAAACGTGAATCAGTTTATAACACTCCTCTGCTCAAAAGTTTCCAGTGGCTTCTACCACAATTAGGGTAAAATCTCAAGTCCTCCCACTAGTGTGCAAGGCCTTCAAGGATCTGCCCTGACAAGTGCTCCAGCTGTCAGCTGTTCTCATCTCTGGTTTCCTTGACTCTGTTGCTGTTCCTTGTATACAGGGCCTATTTGGACCCAGAACAACTTGTTGTTGTCCTCATTGACCTAAATGGCACACTGCCCACTCTTAGGGTAACTTTCCCAATTCATTAGCTTTCTAATAGACTGCTCCACTTAATAAACAAAAACACTCCCATACAACCCCTTTTGTAGTACTTATTACCTATCATTGGAGGATATTTTACTCATTATCTGTCTCCCTCGCTGAAATGTAGGGCCCAAGAGGGACTGAATCTTTGTACATTTTGTTCTCTGATAGTCCTCACACCCACAACAGTGCCTAGCACCCGATATTCAATAAATATCTGTTCAATGAATGAATGCATTGAATTAAGCAAATGAAATATATATTCAGTACACATACAGATAAAAATATTCTAGAATGCAGACTTTCAACTAATCTAGGTTAGGTTCCTCTCAAACTGAAAAAAATTGTTGGAACACAGAGAAAAAAATAAAATGAAATGTCTGAGCCATATTACATAATCTGATTTATAATTACAGATTGAGTATTAGACTGAGAACTTTTGCTTTTTTATATTTGACCCAATGTCTACCTTAAACATTTAAGCAAAGGTTAGTTTGAAAGGCTACATACTCATTTAAAAGCAGTAAAAAGAAACAAGGTTCTCCTAGTCACTTTAATAATTCAGAATGGTATTCTGTGGCTTCTGTTGGCATTTGAGACCCCAAGGTGGTAATTGGTTACCTGAAAATAAAGGCCTTGATCAAATATTTAACATCTCACTTATTTTCATTTTCTGTATATTTTGTTTTCCTGATTCTCACTTTTTTTTACCCATTCTGCAGTCACACAATTCACACACTGAAGTTAATAGAAATGTTTCATGGATTATTAAATGCAGCTAAGTAATGAGTTTTTGCTAGAAAAAAGGCCAAACTGGGGCCACTTTGCTATTCTAACAAAGTAATTTTTCCTTGAGGGTACAGACTATGAATTTACAGAGGCCTCTACCCTTTATTCTGAAGTTTTGTAAGGCAAATACATTGCTGCAGGAGAGGCTTTAAAGTGGAAAACAGATTCCCCTTGAAAACATGTTTTATGGTGGCACAATTAAGAAGTCTTATAATGAAGAACAGTTGAAAGCACAGAATTATAAGTGGACCCTTATAATTATGGCAAGAAAGACACTAAATAGTGCCTGTTTGCTAATGAAAACATTGCATTCTGGTGCCAAAAGCAGTGGAGTGGGTTTTGGTTGGTGCTTACCTGGGTTAATTGTCCAAGGAGTGCTCCAGTAGCAGCATCCCAATGTTGTCAGCTGCCGTTCCTAATGGAGCTTTTATATTTTACCCCTATTGCTAAAACCCTAATCCAGGCTTTGATGTCCATTTGGGCCTACTTGGTACAAAGAGGGC